AAAAAAAAAATCCCCATTGGAAATCTTGGCATTGAGCACTCGCTCATTTAGTCACCGAGGAAAAACATGCACACAGCAGCAACCTGGAAGTCACCATCTGCAGGAGTGCTCTTTAGTGTTTGTGTTTCTTTGAATATTAGAACCCCTCCCTGTTAAAGAGACTTTGTGCAACTTTGTGAAACTGTAAAAAGAAACAGTGGAACTAGTGGAGCAACATAGCCATACAAACACAAAACCATACACAAATAGAAATGTCACTGCTGCCATTGTTCCTACCATGTATCAGTGCCAGTTGACTCACATGCGGAGAAGGAAAAGTTGGTCTGAAGATGGGGACAATTTTTCCACTCCCTGATGACCAGCTCATAAATGCTGTCAGGCTTATATTGAGTTTAGTTATTTATAACTAGTGGCAGATACTTTTAGCTGAACATGAGAAGCTTATTTGGCCGTCGTTATTCTGTCAGTCCATCCATTTGTCAACTCAACAGCCGTTAAAAGTTAAAAATATGTTGGAGTAATAAACTTTTCAAAATCACTACTTAAAGCGGGAGGGAAATAAAAATGGTGTTTCGTTAACCTAAAGATCCGCCCAATTATGTCAGAAAATAAGGTCAGTTTTTTTAACATTCTAATTCTACATGAGCCTATGTGACGATAACTGGTCTGACTCATGTGATGATGGACAGTTAAGAAAGTACATGATCATGTTCTGACGGTAAGTTGTATTGAAACTCAAATGCCAGATATCTCAGTGCTTCTTGAAGCAGAAGTGGAAACGTCAGTATTTGATTCTATTCTGTGGCCTCGCTCAAGTACTTTTAAGTTGTTTATGAATATTGTTTCTATTTCCTATGTCTCAACAAATTCTAATTAAACTTGAACGCTTGTAATATCAACATTTAAAATTAGCATACCAATACACAACATTCTCTATCTTTAAATTGACCAAATCTATTTAATACTGGTCTGCTCTGTCAGATTATGGTGACTTTTACCCAGTACATGCATAACAAACGTTAGAACAATGTGCTGTCATTGCCAGGATATAAAATGACTCATGTGAGTGGGTGACACTTGCTGCAACAACATAGAACTAATTTTTGACTCTCAGTGATCTTATATCACCTCAAAAAAATCTGTACAGACAAGACAGAAGATGATCGGTGACTAACACCTATCTGATTGCTTGTCATGCTACGTGGTTAGCAAATATTTTACCAAAAAAACGTGCTTCAAAGTCAGATTATTCCAGTTTTTCACATCTTCAGGAGTTTGTGAAAATGTATCACCTATGACAGAGGCGATCGCATGCATGGGTCAATTAATGTTTCTACTGTATGGGAAGGAGCTTCCATGCTACCCTGAAGTTACACAAGGTGGAAAACAAAAAACACAACCAACGGCATGTTCCCCACAGAAACCAGTAAAACATCAGCTGTCAGAGATATGCTTTTCTGAAAACAATGTGTCAGATCTGTTTTGTAAGTTTACATGCCATAGGAAGATGTAGAGTGTCAGCCTTGTTTCCATTTGTGGGACATGATGTCAAAAGTGGGACATGTTCCATATAAACAACTTTAACAAAATGTGTGGCTGCATGTGACTAGTGGCAGTTCTTTTTTCTTCTTTTTGTGAAGAAACCCTCTTAACAAAAATAGGATGAATAAATATAAAATATTTCAAGATATACATAACTCCAAACAAACAAAACTATTTGACCTGAACCCACAAATGAACTTACAAAATTAGGAATACAAAATAGAGAAATTATTTTCTTTAATCTTCCAAAGTTCAGTCCTTTGGTAATTTTTTGTTTTTACATTGCTCTGTCTGTTTATTTTAAGTAATTCCTATCTTGTTTGCAGCTCAAAGGTTTCTCCCTTTTGCTGATCAATACTTCGTCAGTTAGTCTGTTGCGTCAGACTTGGTTCCTATCAGAGCTATGTTGTCAGCATGACTGAAACTGATATATCACTGGATATACGGGGAAACATATGTATTCTGGTAAACACCAAGGTACAGTAATACATTTGCCCAACTTTGTGGTCAAAGGCATCTAGAAACTATACATTGTGTTACTGGGGACACGTTTTTTTTTTTTTTTCGTTTTAGAACACTTCCAATCAATATTAGTCACTGGAATATACAGGGCCATATGTTGTCAGCATATGACGACATTTTAGGAGATGTTTAGGCAGTTCAGAAAAGTCTTATGATAATACATTTGATTCTAAAAGGAACACAAATAGACTGTTTGGGCATGGAACTTCATAGTCTTTCTATATAATAAAATAAAATGAAATAGTGAACAGAACAAGAGCACATATAGAGGTGCAGACCACTCCAGGACTTGATCCAGGGTGCTATGCAAATAAGCCCCTTTGCTCTCACATGCCTTCGAAACTGAAACTTTGCTCGCTGCTTGCTAATAATACACAGTCTCCTTTCTTCTTTCTTTTTTTTTCTGCTTTTTTTCTTTCTCTGTGGGGATGCAGTGGGGCTGTTGATGTCTTACCCTACGTCCCGCCTTATCTGTGACCTCACCGTCTGAAACCTGAGACTGTATGGGCGGGTCAGCCGTGAACATAGCTGCTGGAAACTCCTCCCAGCCTCTACAAAATACTTGTTTTTCCACACAGAGTGCACTCAAAGTCTGGACACAGGGTTCCAACATTAGCCCGTGGATCAGAGCTCAAACTTCTTCTTGCAGTGAAGGGGATACAGCATGTCCGAAATGCTTGACGACATCTTTGCAACGGTGAGTCAAAATAAAGGATTTATCTCATCTTATTTCACATGAAAAAAAAGCTTGTTGAGATCAGAATGGTTCAGCTCTCCAATTCTTTTTTTAAATTTCTACCCTATTTATATTCTCCGTGAGTCATAGTTTGATGTTGAACTCATTTTGAGCTGACCTTAATAGTTTCCTCCTTCTAAAAATTGCATAAGAAAAACAGAGCTGCCTTGTTTGCCTCTTAAATTGATAAACAACATAGAGCAGAAGTCTAGTAAATCTGTAGTTGTTGATCATTTGCTATTGAAAAGTACAGTAGATTCTAATTCACTAAAATTATTAACGTAAAAAAAGAATCCAAATGGAAAGATTCATTGTTGCTGTTAAATCAATGTACATTGATTGATTTCTGAAAAAACAAGTAATAACTCTTTCACCCTTCTGTCACAGAACTTTAGATACCTGACCCTGAACGATCCCGGCCTCCCAACTAAGCCTCAACTCAAAGCCCCAGAACAGAGTCGGCTGACCCGATCAGAGTCACTCTTTTCTCCCTCTTCCCACCCTGCCTCTTCGAGCCTCAGCTTGAGCCCTGAGTACGTTGACGCCGATGAAAATGGCAGCTCGTTCCTGTCATCCAACATCTGGAGCCAGGGCCCTGCCTCCGGCCAAAAGCAGCTCCCCTTTCGACCCGATCGCTCCATGAGTCTGACCGAGTCCAGCAGCAGCCTGCTTTCTACGTTTGGACAGTTGAAGAACCTGGATCTGTTTCCTCCAAGCCCTGCGACCACTGTGGCCCCCCCGCCGGGGTTCCCCCCTTCGTCCAACCTCCCGCCTCAGGTCCCCCCGGCTCTGTCCTCCAACCGTTACAAGACTGAGCTGTGCCGCGGCTTCCAGGAAACCGGCAGCTGCAAGTATGGCAGCAAGTGCCAGTTTGCCCACGGCGAGGCCGAGCTCCGAGGACTGTACCGCCACCCCAAGTACAAGACGGAGCCCTGCAGAACCTTCTACAACTTTGGTTACTGTCCGTACGGCTCGCGCTGCCACTTCATCCACGAAGAAAAAATATGCGGAGGCCCGCTAGGATCCGCCAAATTCCAGAGGAGTTCAGCTCTTGCGACACACAACCCGCGGCAGCTCCGCCAGAGCGTGAGCTTCGCCGGGTTCCTGGGGTCAACCCGCAGCTCGTCCCCTCCCTCGTTCCCTTCGGCCTTCAACGACCCCAACCTGGGCTTCAGCCGCGCCCCGTCCGTCTCCCCGCCCCCCGCCGACCTCCTGTCCCCGGTGTTCGGCGACTCCCTGCAGCGGGAGAAGGCGGCATTCCAGTTCGGCCACCAGAAGTCCCGCGCCAGCACCGGGGACATCCACGGCATTCCTCTCATCCTGGAGCCCAAGGCCTCGCGCGTCTGCGTCTGCGGCCACGGGAATAATTTCAACAGCAACAACGGCGGCAGGGGCTTCGGCGGCGCGGAGGACGGGCCGCAGCAGGACGGCAACATGCTGTACCCCGGCCACGGCGTCCAGGGCGGCTTCACCAAGCCCCCGGGACTGCAGCGCTTCTCGTCCGAAGACTCTCTGGAGGACAGCTACAGCAGCAGCAGCAGCAGCTCCAGCGGGTCCGAGTCCCCCACGTTCGACGGGTCCTCCACCAAGAGACTCACCGTGTTCGAACGTCTGTCCCTGTCTGACTAAAAGGGATCCAAAAGGGAGACGATTGAAAAGTTGACACTTTTCTGTGCTTCTGTGCTTCCCCCTCAGAACCAGAACTCTTCAGAACAATTTGACGCAATAACACTTAACGTTCTTAAATTTGTACAAATTGTCTTTCACAAACTACTCATGCTGAGATGATTTTAGTAGCTAAATGTTATCAGACTCTATTTTTATACTTACAAATATTGTGTAGCCTATTAGACCTTTGTATGTGGTCTTCCATAAGAATTACCTCCTCTGCAGGTCTTGACTTGACCAGAACTTTGCCTGGTTCATAGTTATCACAAATCCGCTGTGATCAAAATGGCTAATCAGTAGTGATAAATCATTAATGCCTGTGCCTTAAAGATTTTTCTCTTTTCCTTGTAGGCTATACATCGTTTGTGCCAAAAACAGTATGATTGATTCAGTAGCCTTCATCAGTGAGACCTGACATGTGTTTGTGATATGCACTTTACAGCTAATTCAAACGGGATAAAGTCCCAGTAGCATTCACCCAAAGCTTCATTCTTCAATCTGCCCTGTGTTTGTATGTGTGTACTGGTGTGTGTGTGTGTGTGTGAGAGAGAGAGAGGGCTCGTGGGCATGCATGTGAGGGGGATTATTTTCTTTTCTTTTTTTCTTTTTTTCTGAGACCTAGGGTGCAATCAAATGTTGCAGAACGCTGAAGGAATTTAGTGTGTTATGAGATCTTGGTCTTGGCACAAACCTTTTGAGTTTTGATCCTGAAAGACTTTCTGTTAGGTTTGCAGTTTGTAAATTGAACCCTGCTTTATATCCTCCAGTATGTTTGAGCGCCTGGTTCAGGGAACACCGCAGTATTCCATTTGGTTATTGGTTGCCTAATGTTGTTTAACTTAAACTTGTGTATTTATTATATTTATTTCAAAGAAGAATAAAATGTATTTTGTACTTTATTTATGGAGAAATATTTCAAGTTCTCTGAAATGTGAAAAAAATGGTTAAAAAAAAGAGAATCTTATATTTTTAATTGCCTTAAAGGGATTAAATGAATTACAGAATAAATAATTGATTGTATCCCTTTGTTGACTTTTCTTATTGAATAAGATTCACACACCATACCATCTGACAGTACAAAAAACTTGACTAACCGAAGATTACATTCCACTTTAAAGCCAGAGCAGATAGTATTTTTCAAACATTTTGACTTGAAGAGGAAGCACGTGTGTTATAGATACCTCTGTCACAACAAATGTCCCAATCAGCCATTAGAGAAACAGCATGAAGGAAAGCAGGACTTCCCCCTAGAAACCATGTGGTAAGTCAAAATGTCTGCAGTGTAAAACAGATATGTGGAAAGAATAAGAAATTTGATGTAAACCATAACTGGTTCTGAAAAAAGGGAACCAAAGAAGAAATACATTTAATATGTTTTTGAATATCTACTAATATGTCAGGTTATTGGCAGAAACTATTAAGAACATTGTTTGAAGTATCCTGATTGCTCATTATAAATATAGATATGCCTATTTGTATCTTCCGTAAAACACCAAGTAATGGTAACACAAGGTAAAAGAAATCACCAACATCATGCATAACTGTTTCTGATCCTCTCAGCTGTGTTTGGTGTGAAACACTGTCTTTGTTGTGTAAACAGGCCTACACCTAACCTATGCTCTGCAGCTCACTGCATTCATTTCAAAGCAATTTGCACAAGCACTGACAATGTCAGTGTGATAGATTATGTAAATTCCAGAGACCCATTTGGCGTTGGCATCTCATTATAAAATTTAGTTGTTAAGCAAGAGTTTTTTGCAGTTACCAAGGAGATCCACCAACAAACAGCCGAAGAAAAAAAGCTCTCCCTGGATGAATAAACTCCAGGGAATCTCATGGCTGGAAGTCTATTTTTTGCGGATGTGTCCCTTCTAAACCAAATTTCTAATAAATGAGCCAGCCATGTTTTGTTTTTTTTGTTTGTCTGTCCGAGAGGAAAGAAAAAACTACAGTGCCAGCAGGTAAGACTTTCAGTGAATCCACATGTGGTTCACAGCTGACAACAGTTATGGATCCCTCTCATCCAACACATGGCTGAGCATGACTAAGTCACTTAGAGGCTACGAGGAAATCTCCAAAATACTAGAAAACCTGATGTATGAAAAATTACCACTAGGAGCTCAGCCAAAACTGCAGCAAGAAAATTCCTATAACATTTGATACTTTATAAAAGGCTCAAAACATGGTTTCTGTCATATTTAGGCGATATGTAGGGAACATAACTGGATTACACAATGTGCTGTTTTCAGCAGCTGTTGTCTTCAGCTCTTGAATTTTTGATTTATTGCCTTGTGTGCTGAATTTTCTTGGGATTGTGCAAGACACATTCCGAAGTTGGGCTGAAGTTTTAAAAAAAAACACCCTGTCGCAATTTCCACTTTATGCTCCCACTGAGAAGTTGTATTGTGCAACCCTCATGCTGCCACGGCCACCACCAACACAAAGTCAGAGCATGGCTGTGTCCTGGAAAGAAAAAGGCACTTAACACGCTTTTGAAGGCTTTGCACATGATGTCAGTCTGAAACAGTCTGAGAATCACTCAACAGTAAATACTGGCCACTGTGCATGATCAGATTTCAGTGGTTTACATTCTTCAGCAAGTTGTGGAACACTTTATCTGTGGAAGTTCTTTTGAATGAGGTTTCCACATCTGGAGGGCGGTATTTTAAAACTTTGCGCATAATAAGTAGAATTGGAAGTGGCTGCTTTTCTAAGAACTGTAAAGCCTTTTCTTTTTCTCCATAATCGCAACTCAATAAAAGTTTGAACAAGCTTTGAGTCGTAGATCTCTGCTGTGTGGTACAGTTAGAGTTATTTTGTTTAGGTCCATTTAGATTTGTTTAACAGACCTTGTGTAGTGGTGGCCTTCATCTACCTCTTCATAAAGTTTGTTGTGGCGTGTATGTGGGAAGAATACATGCCTATCCCAGCCATAACTTTATGTGATGATGGATATGTGTGAACTTAGAATTAAAGCACACACCCCTAAATTTGAAATGCTGTCTTAAGAGGCCATAATTTTCATTTAATCAGGAAATGCAAGGTATTTCAATCAGAAAGTTCAACCTTTTTAAGAAGAAAACATACAACCTTGTGCTAGTGTATTACATGTCATAAAAACTGAGAGAAAATGTGGAAGTAAGGCGTTAAAAATGAAGTACACTTTTACATCTTCTACACACACCCAGTTTTGACTGTTAAGCGCAGCGGTGAAGAGGTGATGACTAGTGGCTTGTTTGGAAGCCACCAGACCTGGACTCTTTGCTTTCATAGTCAGCCATGAACTCCTCTGCTATATACCAAAGATATTCTAAAATAAATGTGACACCATCGGTCCAGCAACTCAAAATAAACGAATGATGTAAACCTCAATAAAGAGTAAAGTTGTAAAGAAGAGTAGGCCAAAATTCCAGCACAATGATACAATAGATGCATATGTTATTTAAAAAAATGATCATTTCAGGCTTTTAGCTGCTAAATATGGTCCTACAAGCTGCTTAATCAGGTAGTGTTGAATTAGTTTTTAAACCTTGTCATTACTTTTGCTGTGCCTTGGTTAATAATGCAAAAGTATCTTTCCTGGAAGTGTCTCAGGAAGCGAGTGAAAATTTTCCACAGCGTTTTAGGGGTGAAAATATTAAACAAAGATGTGCTGTGTTAATGGCCTTAATATGAAAATATCCTCTTTTGTTTGAAGAAAACACTTCCTGTTTTGAATATCTGTGGTCATTTGCTTTAGTAAATTAGATTGAATGTAGCAACAGTTAATAGATCATTTTATTATTTGGCAGATAGCTTTAATGAGATCCCCTTATGTCTTTAAGTGGAACCTAATGACATGTGCCCAATCAGTTTAGGTTTTAACATGTTTTTCTTTCTTTTGTTACCCTCATATTAACGTTGAACTTATTTGTTATATTTTTGTATATTTTTTTAAACAACTAAGTGATTTTGTAGTGTATGAACGTAAAATTAAGGTACAACCCCTTCATATTAAATGTTGTCAGTATAAGACATGATTGTTACATGATCAGACAGATGCAAGGTCTTTTAATAAGAAGGATCGACCTTTTTAATAATGGGTTGAACATGGCAATATCTTTATAATACTTGAAATGACAACAGTGTAACATATGATGACTGATTAAACCTGTGAACATTTTTCTCATTATTCCACCTTTTTTATGGGGTTAAACTTGTTTTGCTCCTAACAACATGTCAATAAAGCTACATCTGGGAGGCTTTAGCCAGACTGAACAGTACATATGTTAGCAATACATTTCCTAAGATTTCAATAAGGCCTGAGCTTTTTGTAGACCTACTAATAAACCTCAGCTGGGCCACAAATGTGCATTGTGTCTTCAAACCTTGTTTCCCCTTCAACCAATAGCAGGATGTGTTGCTATGGTGATGGACAATGACCACATAGTATAAACAGCAAAGCCAGAAAAAAAGAGACCAGCATGCTTTTGTGTGTGAGCAACTATTAACATCCCAGCCTCTTTATAAGACCAGACTGGTTAAACGTCATCGAACTGCAAGGCCCTTGTAGAACAAAGGAGGAAATTAAGCTGGAAGTAAACTGCTCATCTAGAAAAGAGATTTCTTATTGTACACTAATGAAAACAATCCTTTGGAACTGGAATAAAATGATCCTGAAATGATTTTGAGATTATCTGATGTTTTCTTTTTTCTCTTGATCTCAACCTTTCCTGCTCAGTGGTCGGAGTCATTATGCCTCCCAGCCATTTTTTTAAGGTTGGCTTAGTGTTACCCTCTTTACCCTCTGTACCCACTGTTAATGATTAACCACAAAGCTGCTGTCAAAACAGTCTCTACCTAAGTCACCTGACACTCAGCACTGTACACGCAGCACACGTACACGCCTTAGGTTTATTACTGTATGATGGTCTATTGAAGGGATTACGTATAATTCTGTCTAAAAAGCAGCACATAGACAGAATAAAACAGATAGAGAGTCTAGTAAATTCTAAGTGTGTTCTAGGAGAGCAGAAAAGAACAACACAAAGGGCCCTTTTAAGACTTTATTCAAGAGAGATTGGACGGCTTCGAAAGAACACGGTTACGTGCCACTTGAGTGTGTGTGTGCGTCTTTGCTTTGGTGTGTTTACTGCCACTCCATTCGTTCTCACTCGTTCTGTCACAACCTCTGGATTAAGCATTGCGGTTGAGAAATTTCTCAAACTAAAACTGTCGTCAGCCATTCGAAGAGTGACGGAATCCATTATGTAACTTTCCCTAAACTAACCAGGTCTCGGAAAAACATTTTCTCAGGAGAGATTTCGGTGGACCTCGCGGCCAGCGTGACTTCACACCTTAAGAAGATGCCCCCAATCATTTAAAAAACTTAGGATTTGCTGACTATTGTACAAGATTGCTTAAACAATCCTGGAACACAAATATGTGCTTTCTACTATTCAGTGTTTCACACTCTGTGCGATAAAATTAGACAGTATTGACCTTTCTTGCTGTGATGACTAACTGAGATGAGTAAAGGAATGTTTAAAACAAAAGCAGGACAAGTGGGACTCACTGCGAAACCTTGATGTGAGTG